AGTAATTGCTTTTTATTCTGTTATACATTATTTATTAGCAAAACTGTATGTTGTGTACTAACAAGTACTAACCTTATGAAATGCTATATACTAACGTCAAAGAGACCGGGATAAGGTACCGGTACTTTATGTATCTCTAACAAATGTACATTTCAAATAAAATTATATAGAATTAAAAAAAAAAAAAAAAAAAAAAAACTTCACAGTGGTCTTTAATACTAATCACTACCGGCTGAAGCCATGTGAGGACAGACATGCAGGAACCAATTCATAAAGGTGAGGACGTCTTGGCAAAACGTCAGACCAAGACTAATAATTCACGGTACTGTGTGTGTCGTGGCCCAGACACGTTCGAGACTATAGTTCAATGCAATAATTGCAAGGAATGGTTTCACCTCATCGGTATTCGCATGTCGGTACAAGAGACCAATGAAATAGATCCTTATATCTGTCCTAACTGTCAACTTGTTTGTACTACTCCACCCTCAAACGACAAAGGAGGAGAAGAAAGCAAGTAGTTCAACAGGTTTACTAATTTTTTTTTTTCAGAATGACAGATTCAGCAGAATCATTCCAATCTTGTAGTGATGACAGTACTGATTAGGGAACAAGGCCTTCGAGGCCTAGTGGTAACTCCCAGCTGGGAGTGGGCATTCAGCCGTTTGACCTATCCCTGTTGGATGGGAATCGGAGAGTAGTGGTCAAGGAGGTACCAGCTGTGGAGCAGCAGTAGGTTCCAGCTGTACAGCAGCAGGCGGTACCAGCTGTGGTGCAGGACACTGCTGCTAAGGAACAAGCTGTTGGAAAGGATACAGCAGTGGAGGCGCATGCAGTAAAGGCGAAGGAGCAGTCCGCTCCAGTAGCAGCCAGCTCTGCAGCAGATAAGCCAGCTGAGGAAGACTCCATGGCATCAAGAAGGTTATTCAAGAGGCATGGAGAGGCAAAGAGGATACGGTTTGGACTGGACCTCACAGTGGGTATAAGGAGAGGACTTGGCGAGTCAGTGACCGGGACGTTGCCTGCCCTGTTCCAGAATGTCCTGTCATCACAAGGCATTCGAACAGGCCCTGGCTGATCAGCTGTCAGGACTGTTCGGGAGTAAGTTCTCCAGGGAAGTCATGCAGGACCGGAATTTCCAGGATGTAACGGCGACCAAATTTGTCCAGCAGCGAGCAGGGATAATCCTTTCCCTCCTCAGGCACCTCGGCCAGGTAGACAGGGCTTCTGTGGCTACCGAAGAATACACGGGAAACAACGGTCCCTCTTATGACAGGGTGTACCGTATGAACTGTAGGTTCCTGAGTGCACCTAGTGTGGTAGGGCCCGTCGTTGTTCAGTCCAGAGCTATCATACCTGTGGTCCAGCCTACCATACCAATGGTCCAGCCCACCATACAAGTGGTCCAGCCCACCACACCAGTGGTCCAGCCCACCATACAAGTGGTACAGCCCACCATACAAGTGGTACAGCCTACCTTATCAGTTGTACAGCCTACCATACAAGTGGTCCAGCCCACTACACCAGTGGTCCAGCCCACCATACAAGTGGTACAACCCACCATACCAGTGGTTCAGCCTACCTTACCAGTGGAGGACCCCAAGTCAACTGGAAAGATCACTCCACCAATTACTGAACAGTGGCAGTGGCAGCACCCATAACCAAGGAATCTGTAGTGGTCCTAGTGTACCAGAACACCAGGAAAATGGTGACGGTGACCACAGTGAACAGCGCCATCGAAAGGGCCAGGGATGTATTTGATCTTGACAATGCTGAGATGGTGCTGACCTACCTTGGAGCAGATGTCGCCTGCAGTGTGAAGCTGGATCTGTAACCAGCAGTCGCAGAGCTCCTGGTAGAAGTAAGTAAGCGATGCAGTGAATTAAAAGTAGCATCTGAAATTTGGTTTTAAGTTGGAGAGGACTCATTAGATTTATGAGGATTTGGTAACAAGGCCGGTGTAAACATTGTAGATATAGTAGCGAAGAATTTGACATTTTGTATTTTCACCATATTGAAGAACGGTATTGGTGTTTCCTTGCTTTTACGGGCATGGTGTTCCTTTATGTTTCAAGCTGGAACTGGTGCTTTTATGTTCATCATTGGGTTTATTTTTTTATTAGTAATTGTAGCAGTGACTTTTATTGGAAATCCAAGGGGAGGTTAATGAACTCTTGGGAATTGAAATTATAGGGACATCTGTATATATTGATAATTTGTTATATGCGATCAATATTTAGGACGATTCAGGGTTGGAAAACACAATTTATACATTTTAAGTTATTGGATTCAGTTCTTAACTAAGATTATCTTCCAGTCGTGCTTAGTGGGAAGTAGTTGAATCACCACTCCTGAATGAATGTTATACAAATCCCTAGATCATCATAATTGGTCTAATGTACTTTTTACATGAGAAATGAAAAAGCTTCTTGATAATGGATCACTTTTTTTAGTAATAAAATAGGACTAAGAATTGCTAAAAATACTCATTCTAAGTCTATAGCATTTTTCAATACAATACGAGGACATATATCGGAAGAGTTTTTGAACAAAGGAATAGTAACACCATATATAAAAGGATCAGTCTTAGAATTTATTAGGTACACAATTTTTTTGTATCATGAACAGTAAAATCACCACATCTTAAAAAGCCGAAAACAGGTGTTATACATGCAGCTTCTATTTAAACATCTGTAAATTATCAAAAATACAATAGAAAAAAAACATTCTGTGTAAAATATCAAAAGTCATATATTACTCTTTAGTAAATATAAAACTAGAGACATCAATAGGGATAAACAGATGGCTTAGAATCCTAGAAATATAAGAAACTCTAAATATGAATTCATTGTACCAATTTATTTCTGAATATCTAATTAAATTTAAGATGGAAATTATTATAATATATTGTTCAAACGAAAAAAACTTTTATTGCAGTGGAAAATAACTTAGACAGATAAATCGGATGTTTGTAACCAAGAAGAAGATTATGCACTCTATTTTCTATATTTGTCATTTTTGACTAGATTTTGGCAAAATATCTATGACCTCTTAAAAAATGTATGTCTAGGAACATAGGTCTGCATCTATCAAATGATTAGTTCTGTAGTGCATATCTTAATTATGAGAAGCCTTTTATTTAATACTTGTGTGTTGCAATACCCAAAGGACTTACTCTATAACTTTTAAAGGGGTGTTGAGATAATAGGCCCTTAAGAAACCATTATCAACCTCCTCTTGTAATAAATGTATGAATATTTCACGATTGTTTCTGGTAGTTGAAGAATTTTTACATTCAAAAGAAGGTAAATCACTTCTGAAACTAGCATATCATATCCATAACGAAGACTTTTAGATAAACAGTTCACAAAATGCATATCTTGGTGATTTACAAGTTCCATTTCTAGTTAATATTTATTAGTGTTGAAGGAACGTCTTTTGTATCACTAAATTCTAGTCATTTTGATTTTGTATTGTGCTGTCTATTAGAGATTGATTTGTTTTCTTTCTGTTGTTGAGTTCCAGGAAAGCTTTTTTTGTAGAATATTCAAATTTTCCATGATTTTCCTTGCAGATTTTACACACATGATCGTACCGGCAGTAAGCTTAACACAACATTTTAGTTGATTAGAATTGTTGCAAATTTTCATTCCATAGTGAACAACAATATCTCTTCCATATTTGTCTTGATGAGGAGCTTGATTTGTTGAATTCTGATAACTCCTGCTGCTCGTGTGAAGAAATGACGTAGCAAAATTAGATTAGAATGGAATGTGCATTGTGACGTCAATAACCGTGTGAAAAAAAATATAGCTACTCAATTGAATGAGCTGACAAAGTTCCTTATAAACTCAAATTATAATACATAATTTTAATTTAGGTCTTGGTACTTTCGAATGAACTTTATAAAAATAATCAACGAGATGTTCCTTGACAAAACCCTGGCTCATCAATCTTTACTCCGACACCGATGACGGTTTATACAGTCTGAGTAGCAGCTGCATGCTCCTGAAAATCATATAAGTTAAGTATTGTATACTCCATACGCGGGTGAGGTTGGTATATTGCTACTAATCAAAAGATAATATCAAAATAACGGTATTTATATTCTAAAAAGTAAAGAACTACTTTGCGAATTTAAAATTAAAAAAACCATGTAGAATTGGCAAAAGATACCAAAGGAATAATCAAACTCATAAAAAAAACAAGTCGAAAACGAACTGACAAAACCATGGCAAAAGCAACGAAAAACGACCAAGACAAACAACAGTATATAAAACACAAAATTGAAAACCAATGACTGAGTAACACGGACCCCATAAAAACCGAGGGTGATCTCATGTGCTCCGGAAGGGTAATCAGATCCTGCTCCACTTGTGGAACCTGTTGTGTTGCTTATGTAAGTACAAACATGTTAATAAGTTATTCCGACAAAGTTGTCTTGAACATGTTGAATGTTGAATGGCAAAATGTGGCGTTTAGTAAGTTTTTAATGTCGCATTGCTGGAAATTTTGTAGGGATAATATTCAGACTATTTCAATTTCATATTCCAGTAAGATTTCTATGGAAACATTTGAACAGATGAAATATGAGTTAAAAACTCGGTGTTTGAAGTTAAAACCTTAGCTGTCTGTATACTTTAATTCCTGTAGCAATCCTATTATATTTGTTCTCCTCTTTGTGTTGATGACGGATCTTAAGTGGTCAGTGTTGAGTTCGGTTACAACTATTTTATTTATTTATTCTACGGTTCGAAAGTCACATATGGCAATATATATTGCAGGAACATGATATATCGACAAATTCATCTTAAGCCCAACCCGAAATCGAAACCGACAATGCCACAAAAACCAAGAATAGTTAAGTGAGTTGAAATTCTCATATGTTAACGTAAGCGTTTAAAAGTTGTTTATTTTTTTTATTCAACCCGTTTATTCGTTTATATTGTTCTTAAACTGACAAAAAATAAATCGGTAACTATTTGAGAAAAGAAAAATTAGTCTACTTTTCAATTGTATTTTATTTCATTTTAACAAAAAGCGCTGAAATGCGAAATGCATGAAATGGATGTGAGGCTTTTTTACGATCTACTTTCAAATTTAAAGATTTTCTCTCTTCCTTGTTAGCAATAACAACATCAAATACAGCATCTGGTTCATCTGAAAACCAAACAAATCAAATATTTATTCTCTACAAAATAAATCTTAATATATTACTAAAATAAAGGATTTTCTTCTCAACTCTAAGGTTGCTAAACAAAATAGTAAATTCTGTAGAATTGTAATTTCCTTTGTGGTTTTGAAGAAAATTTACGACCAAATTCATAAAGAATATTGAAGAAATGCAGAAATTTTGTTTGCCAAACCAATTGATTCAAATGTTGAAATATCAAAATGGTCTTTTCAAAATTTATTTCAGGAGGTAAATTAGTCTAGAGCAGTGATTTTGATTACACTTGTAGTTTAGTTAAAAACAATAATTCAATAAACTGGATATACAAATGTCCAGAAAAATGCTTCAATGCTTTATAAGTTACAAAATGTACTGTAACTTTAGCTTATAACTTCATGATTTTTACAATCAGCTTTCACTTTCAGTTTCTAGACCTTGCTTATATTTCTAGGTCCTTTTTGGTCATATAGCTTTTCAACTGATAAGGTTCGTATACATCCTTGGTCTTTAAATATTCGGCTTTTAACGTTCCTTATGAAGGTAAATCTAGAAAAGCGCGTCGGAAATTTGAAACTTATAACGTGTTTTATTCATTTTTTACAGCAATGAGGTTTGATAAATATCTTTTTTTTCTCGCTTTTCTTTCTATTCTTCTATAAAAGAGATCTGATTTAAGAGGGTGTATATACTTTTGCACAAACTGAGATACACTAACAAACAATAGGTATCACTACGTTGAGAACTCTGAAGTCTTCTGCGAATTATATTTAGACTACAACTTTATAGATAATATTGACCTTTTTTATTGTAATTAATGTTAATGTTTGTTAACTAATGAAAGTATGACATACTTTGCTTTTATCGTTGAGGACGTGAATATACCTGAAACTCAATTTGAGCCCAAACTAAACACTTCAAACAAACAAAAAACAGGAGACGCAATACATACGTCAACGAAACAATTTCAAACCGACCCTTAAATGTTAAGGTCAACTTGCCTTATTGGCCTCACTTTTCTGAAAACTCTGGATCAATTTTTGATTAAAACTTTAAATGATTTATCGTAAGGATAATATAAATTTTTGACAAGCAACTAACATGCCTAACTATAGAACATATGGTTTAAAAAGCATAAATTGTCTAATTTTCATTAAAAATGACTAGAAATAAAAGATTTACAAAACGCCTGATGACTGATTGCAAATAATTTTAATAAAGTGAAGATATAAGGTCATTTTGAATGAGATAAACATGTTTATAACGTTTCTGTGATATTCATCACATTCTATAAAAACAACCTATCCTGATGTACAAAAAAGTACAAATATATAACGACGGTTCATGATTTCAATTAAGATGTAGAAATTATTGCAATCTTAATCAACACAAAGTAAGTTAAGGTATCGTTACTCTTATATTAATCACTTTTCATGAAAGCTTTCTCATCTAGAGGCTTTAATATACAATGTTAAAGAGGGTGCATTAATTTAAATTTAAAAAATATAGTTATTTCTAATGTGATAAACTAGTACATTTTTGGTATCTGTTCTCTTAAATTAACCAATTTTATGAAAACCAACCCATCCTAATGCACAGAGAAGACAACTATCAAAAAACAGTTTATGATTATCATTAAAATCAGTAATTTCACTCTTAATCAACACATATGTTTGATATAAATATCAGAAGATGAGGTATAACAGCCAATGAGATAACTCTCCCAAAAATATAAAACGACAAAGAAGCCAACAAACACGGATCAGCGCACGAACTTCAACAATGAGCAAAACCTATACCACAAAGTATAATATGAGTAACCTACGACACGCCACGTAAAGACAAACGAAAAAACAATTCAAACGAGAAAACATAGGGCCCGATCCATGTACATAACAATAAACGAAACACAAATATGATATACAGCAACAGATGACAACCGCTGAATCACAGGCTCCCCACTTGGGACAGGAACCCACATTACGCGGCAGGGACAAACATATTTGCTTGCCAAACCCTACCCAACATGAGACATCAGTGTGATAGCGCAACATAAGAACAAACTATACAAATTAGTTGATTTGGGCTAAAATCATCAGACCGATACAAAACACAAAAAACCCTAACAAAATCACAAAAAATACAAAGTATAGATCTAAGAATACTCGCAGTTACTAAAAACTAGTTCAAAGCCAATAACAACTATATTTGTATTAAAAAAATCATGTATTGAAAACAAGAATATCAATCAGTACACATCCAACACCCAATGAAGACGTCATAAACAGTCGTTCGCAATAAATATTGCAGAGTTCGTTTCACATAAGAATGCTCATTATATATCTATCCGTCCGATCCAGTCATATAATTAATTGACTGATCGATTGCTGACGGTTATCATGATTACTCTCAGATAGAATCCGTCAGATAAATTAAATAAGCTACATTGTATCGATCACCAATCATTGAAGGACTAGTCAAGTTCGCATCACCGATCATTCACCGATCGGAAATATTCACGTCAAACAGAATCACCAAAGGTTGCAAATACTGTAAGAGTAACATTCAATCAATATTATTGTATATTTTATTACTTGTTTTTGACAGAAAACTATTAAAACTATTTTTTAAGAGAACAGAAACTTAATCCCATATATAATTTATTCTTCTATTTAGACTAATGGACATTGTAAAGCGCATTTCAAAAAAAAACAATCTTAAGTTGCATCTAGAAAATGACAATGAGGGTCAGTTGATAACAATGCTTTACGCAAGGAAAGTTGATACATGCACGAGAAAAACCAAAACAAATGGGACAACAGTTTGTAATTTAAGTGAGTTCCTTTAAAACGGCAAATTCATTTATTTAGTATTATACATAACTAAAGCGACTTGTCTTTGGGTCATGATATGTGTGTAAATAGAAATAAGAAGATGTGGTATGAGTGCCAATGAGACAACTCTCAATCCAAGTCACAATGTGTAAAAAGTTAACAATTATAGGTCAAAGTACGGCCTTCAAGAATTTTTGCCTTAGTAATATAAATTTGTGCATTAGGTCTAATTAAACCAGGAAAGTTAAGGGTAGTGAGAAGAGTGAACGAGATTATTGTGTCTGTACTTGCCTAACAGACGTGAAAAACGTGCCACAAATTACATCAACAGAACTATCAACATTAACACACGAAACATGATGAAAAGTATAGCCATATGCACAGACCTTTGGTCATAAACTTATGAATTGCATTTATAGTTTTAATATACCAATGGACTTGAAATAAATGATACAACATATAGCGTTAAGTCTGCTTCATATCTTAAGTTGCATCTAGAAAATGACAATGAGGGTCAGTTGATAACAATGCTTTACGACAAAAGAGGATGATTTCAGCTTCCCAATTAGATACTTTCCATTTCAATGTAGAAAAATGAGTCTTTAAACTGAGAAAATGTGATAGAATTGCCAATACTTCCAACACTTCATTCAGGACAATAGACTATGCAGAACCTTTCTATTGTATTTATTGTAAATATACTTTCGTTCTTAATATTTATAAAATTATCCACTGAACGTTTAGGAAACAGCGATCAATCATTCACACAAAAAAATTATATAGGTTGTGTATTTTTTTTCCTGATGAGTTAATGCGAGGGGATTCAGTTAAGAAGATAACAACCAAAAAGCAAAAGTATATTTTTTTGGTTAATTCATATTAAGCATCACTTATTTTTTGTTTGCTGTCTATATGAATAAAATCGTTAGATAACGATAAGAAACAAAAATGTCCATGAGTTATGTGTTTTATTTATTAAATGGTATAAAAAGGTATCTTTTTTTTATTCTAAAATATATATTTGGATGGTACAATGTAATATCCGTTTGTATTACGAATTACAAATTTGTCGAGTTTTATGATTGGAAACTGCAGGGGTATATACGACGTTTTTACCCCTATTTGGAACCTCAATAAAGTAAAAACGAACGTTATCATTTGACGTAGCATAAAGCTTAAACAATGTCTGAGGCTCACAGAGAGATAAAACTGACGACTATCCGTCAATAATACGTTTTTAATTTAAAATCACTCGATTTACACATCAAATACTTGATTAAAGACTTAAAGTTTAAATATAAATTATAGCACAGACGATTAAAATTATTTTCACTCAAATACAAATTTTTAACGTACGCAGAAAATATCAAGTTGGTTTTTTTTTCATTTTTAATATTTTTGTTTTAGAAAAAAGTCATAATACATACAAAGTAACTAATATACAAACAATACACATTAAATCGAAAAACTTGTTTGCAAAAATATTCTTAAAGAAAAAAAATATTCGTCAAAATGAAAAAGTGCATATACATGAATTAAACAAAATATTAAGAAAAAATTAACAAGTCCTGAATAATTATACTGCTTGGTGAATGTTCAACCCATACCTGGTACTGGAAAAATACATTAAGGCAGGGCTAATCCGTTATATGTGTGTGATTCAGGTTTTATACAGGGTATTTAATGTGACATTCCCGGCTTACGATTTATATTCATCGATTTCGGCTCAGGCATTATAAACTCTAAGAATGGTATATCACATTATACAAACTATATACCCTGTCTGAAACCCTGAATAATATATAATATTAGTCTTTGGTATGTAAACTTTGAACCATATACTTCTGATTTATAAGTCATGTTTCCAAAACTTAAGTATCATTCAGTATACACCAAAGGGCTTAGGGAATAGTTGTAACGACTGTTTAACTACCACATTCCCTTTTATTAAGTTGTAATCAAAACTTCCGTCCCAATCTTCGTGGACGACCTATTACAGTACCTTCGTTGTACTTATCTGATATATTTTTCAAATTGTTCTCGTCTTGAAGATGTAAGAAATATTTATCACTGAACGTTAAGCTGACAACAACCAAGATATTGTTTAAAGCTTAAGGAGTACCCATTGGCAAATTTTTGTAAAATAATTATACTATGATTGAATTTTTTTAATCTTTATTTGAGAATAAGGAAAATTAAAACTAATGAAAATATTACACACAGTATATCAAACAAATGATTCGATTTAAAAACAAAAGGTTTCATATTTTTTATTCCACAGTATTGCAACTTTCCTTTGATATTTTGCGTTTTGAAATCCAAGGAATATATGTTAAAAAAATTTGGAGGCAATTTGGCCTTTAAATAAATTCAATTAAATTTTCTTTTTTTGCAATATTAATATAAGAATCTATGTTCATCAATTAATCATAGCTTTTTAGTTTAGAATACTTGCTCGCCATGAACAGACAGTTAATTGAGTAAAAGTGTTTCCTTGACAAAAGCCTCGGCAATCTGACTATATGATTAATATAGTATATGAGATAACTCTTGACCAAAATGAAATTCACACAGAAAGTGTATTTTGTGTTTATCAACTTGCCGATCACCAACAGGGTTGACTGTGATATAGAAAAACTGGCCAATTCTTTGGTTTTTTCTGCCCGGCAGTTAAATCATTGCCAAAGTTTTGCGTCTGTTTTGGTTATCTGCGTTGTTTAAATTCGCATACGACCTTAACTCAAGTGTTTCTTGTACATGTTTTTTGAGAGAGTGTCATCCTCTCTGCACGTTAAAAACCATTGAAACATTTCTTTGATGGTTTATAGGTGGCCTGTTGCAAGGCTTAATTTATGTCTTTATGCAAATTACCCTGATTGACCAATTGCAAACCAAATTTCCAACAAATCATCCCAGTTAACCCCCTAACGGAGAACCTATCTATTGCATTTATAATTAATTTATCTCGTCTTCAAAGTTTTTTTATAGTACTTACTAGCATATTTGTTTACACACGTGGCCGCAACCATTAGAACAACACAGTTGTCCAACACCACATCCACCTTGTTCACCTTCAGGTTGACACATCTCAGCGCTTCCACCAGCTGTATCGGGAGGCACGGATGGACACACAGGATTACATTGCTCTACAGAAAAATATATTAAGATATAATTTGGAAATCATCACTTATCAACGCTTTAAAAGTTCTTCCAGTGTTTTTAGCCATTAGTATACACAAAAATTTACTGCAATCAGTTTAAACAGCACCAAAAACACAGTCAATACGTAAATATCTACATCCTTATAAATTTGAATTATTATGACGGTTTTTGTATAGTTTTGCACCATTGAAGATAATATAGAGGTTAGTTTGAAGTCTTTGACCTACTGTATAAATATGAAAATAGAAATTACACAAACCGTTCGAGTGGGATATAGTTATATGGTCATCCAATCCAGCAGGGAAATATTTGCTACAGAGGGGTCGGATATCTTTTGGCAGTGCAAGATGTATAATTTCGCAGTCACATCCATCAGAATGGGTACATTTAATACGATGCCGTGTGACGAGAGAACGTTAAGGAAACATCAATCTATCATTCGTTAAAAAATAACATAGTTTCTGCATTTTTATCTTATAAGTTACAAGGAAACGGGGGGATTCAGTTAGTTAGATAAAATAACATTAACCAAATTATCATGTTTGCTTAATATATAATTAACATCAATCATATGTGTTTGTTGTCTATATGAATAAAAGGAGAAAAGGGATATGTTTCGATAAGAAAAAAAGACATCCTTGAGTTATATGGTTTCTTAAAAAGGTTTTTTTTTTAAATTTCAAAATTAATATTCGAATGTAATATGAATTTACCTTCAATCTTCAATTTGTAAGATTTGAAAAAAAGAGGCGAAGTATACCATAGGAAAATTCACACTGATAAGTCGAAAACAAACTTACAATGCCATAGTTTGGAAAGAAAAACAAAACAAAAGACACAACAGTATACAAAATACAACATAGAAAACCATATAGCACCAACACCAATAGACAAAAACTGCGCAACAGAAAGGTGACAATATACGTACCTTGAGTTTGACCACTGCCAAAAAATAAAAGACAAATGCAGCACAGTAAAAGTCCACTCTGTTTCCACATCGTAAATGTATAAAGTGACAATGTGGCGATGAACCTGACAGTTTGTATTTTATAGGTATAGAATAGTTAAGCTTAATAAATCACCTCAGCAAAGAAACAATGTAAGGTAATCCAGATACTGAAATCAGGTTTTCAAGTTATATAATTTCGTGATGTTGTAAACATTAAAATTTATAGTCTTTGTATTTTCATGGTTATTTTTCCTATTTAATTATTTTGTAAACATTACTAAGTGTCATGACTTATCGTCTAGCTGCTTAGTTTTCTACTCTTTGTATATTAAAAATAGAAAAATTATTAATTGCACATGTTATCCCATACTTTTAATTTTTACAAAAACATAAATGGTATTAAAGAAGAACTTTACAAACACCAGGTAAACGGTACCATAATTATGAAATATCAACAAATAACCAACCTAAAAGAATCTAGCAAATACCGTCCATAGCTGCCAGACAATTTCACTGCAAAATACAGATACAATACAAACATATATATATTTATATATAACTAAGAGGTTCATCAAGGTTCAAGTTAGATCACTTGGCAAGATATTATAATGAATAGTACAAATAATAGTAGTAGTGCATACAAGTTAATTCAAGATCTATCTACGGTAGAAATGTGCCTCTTAGATAATTTTTTTCAGAATCAGAATTCTAAAAAGAGAGTAATTTTGCAGAAATTGAAGTACTGCTACGTCGTGTTTATTCATACATGCATTAAGTGTATTAATGAACAGTATAGTTTACTGTAGAAAAAAGGGTTGAGTTCTGTTCGTTAACGGTTTTCACTTTTTGCTGTCCAAAGTTTTGCATCGCGGTTACATGTACCTCTTGAAGGTTCTCTAAGAAACCTCTTTCGGTCGATGGTAATCGATATCTGCTTAATTGCAACTGTGTCAATACTACTTCTGGTAATATATGAGTCCGTGTGGGAATACATATATCAGTAACAATTGATTTGGTACTCAAATAACTTGCCAATCTTCCAAGTTCATAAATTATTTAATCGGGACTCCTTTAATAATTTGATAGTAAACGGTTTTTGCTGTTGTGAAGTAAATCATACATATATCTCTCTGAAATTAAATGGTTTGTATTCGAAGTCGATACTAAGAATAGTAAATGCATTATATAACTATGCATAATAACTTCTTGTCACAGAATTTTGTATTGCTTTTACAATGTATTTAAATTTTTAGAACAAAATGGAAATTTATAAATTAAATATTTAAAAGAGGTATGAAGATAAAGACAAACGTGATACTTTTGGTCAACTTAAGCTGTAATGTTGTTCTCTTAATAATTATGTATAAACAAGTTATAAATAGCAGAGAAGATTTTACTATAGCTTGTGTATATCATCATTATACTGCGTTTTGATAAGGTCGATGGCTCGAATGTTTTATATGGTTTACTCTTATTCTCATGCAATTGTGCATACATTTATTTTTTATCGAAAACAATTTTAGAGGACTGATAAAACAAATTGTGGATATTTCATTTTGTAGTTTTAAACAATGTTACTTGATTTCTCAAAATATTCTGATCTTAATAACCATGTGGACCATGGTTTGATACATCATATAGTTAACCGTATTTGTAAATCTAACTTTGTTAAACCGGAGGCATCAGATCTTACTTCCTCATTCTGGCTAGACACCGCTAGGTATCTATTCATCCCATACATCCAAATGTTTGCTAATCTCTTATATGGGATACACTGTTTTCGTATGCATTCGATAAATAGTTAGTTGTAAACACCGGTACATTAATACAAGAAGATCATAAGCAGTACGATTAACGGTAAGGCAAACATTAGATACATAAAACTTCTTATCCTTAACATTTTTGTACAGCTTGGTATAGCACATACACATTTCCTAGCGCATAATACATTACGCTACAGAGCACGCCATTCCATCAAAGTAAAACGTTGCCCACACAATATACTGGTGGTTTTACCTCTGTTTTTATCGAGGAATTCACAGAAAATAGAAATCAGAAAATGTGGTATGATTTACAATGAGACAACTGTCCATTTGAGTCCAAATGAGGATGAGGTAGACAACTATAGGTCAAAACCTATACAGTTTGGTTTGGTAAGCTATAAAATGCCCCGACGTGACAAAATGTAAAACATCTCAAACAAGAAAACGAACAGATGAGTTATGAATGAATCAAGTTCATTAACCATAAACCTTGGATATGGACCCATATTAATGAATAATTCCATTGTCGTCTTACCTGAAGTCTTAGTAAATCAAAAACCTCTTTCTTTTTTTAAATAAGTGCAGTTATGGATTTTGTTGTGATCATTATATAGATAGAAAAATTAAATTAGAAATAAACTAATGAATAAACCAACAAGTTTTCAAGTCCAATTATTTCACACTGAGCAAATTAGCATTTTTAGCTCAGTGTATTTGTCATGAGCATGCTGAGTACTCTGCACGTCATGAACATTTTTTAAAAATATATATCTATTAAGGTAGCTGAAGTGTCTAAAAGTTAGAAGATATATTTTTCTTAAACTCTCGTAAACAACTTCTGGGTCAGTGTACTTTCAAATTCCAATATAAAACCTGTGAGGTCACGGACCTCGTTTTTCCGTAAAAATACATTAAATTTAACGAAATCACATTTATTTTACTTGGGTTATATATATAGGGAAACTTTATTTTTTGCCTTATTTAGGAAATATACAACGATATAATTAGTTAAGATTCGTTGAATGATACTAGGTAAAATGCTTAGAAAAAGACACCCGATCTGCATGAATGAGATACTGTAATGATTTGATTTAAACGTCGTTTTTCTTTCTTGATTGTTTTAACAGTAAAATTTATATTATTTTCCCTAATCATGATCATATATAACTATTGTAATTAATTTGACTTAGCAACTAATAACGGAATTTAGGAATTTTTACATTACTTCACAAGCAATCGACACATTTGACCACCCTTCCTAAATAGTGCGTCAAATTTGACAGAAATTAGTTGCAACTGTTTTATTTCATCAAGGTAAAGCTGAAAATACATTCATCTAGATAATCCATTATTTTTATCTTTGTTACAATTTGTATCGTAATATTACAAAGCCCTACAATATATACCATTGTTATTCTAACATTTACGAATTTCTCGTTTACAAACACGACCGCATCCATTGGAGCAACAGCGTTTACCGCTAGTCACCGGTTTACACTAGCGTCTACTGTACCTGGTGCAGGACGAACATACAAGTATGCAACCATAAAAAATACTAATGACGTGTGTAGCGCCTCAAATATAAAAACGGGGAGTGTCAGGATAACGCCAATGAGATGACAGCTATTAAACTAAAATAACATCTATATTGAATGTATACATGTTTTAAAAGAAATGCATCGGTAAATAAAACAACAACCAAAAAGGACACAAATTTAAATCTTTGGTAAAGAACTATGATGGACATTTTTTTTGTTTAACATTGCAATTACATATATTTGTTTTTAATTGTTTTGCATCATTGTACGTCGGTATATTTTTGGGAATTGTTCGTACTTTGTTTTTATTAATTCATTCTTAAGAAAGGCAGTCAAGGTTAGCATAGTTATGCTAAGTTGATGCTGCTTCTGCTAAGAATGCTCAAAATGAAAAAAACTTTTTTTCGATTTCGATAATGACTTATTTCAAAGATATACTTGCGTTGAAATAAAATTAGGAATGGAAACGGTGATTGTGTCAAAGAGACAACAACCCGACCAAAGAGCAGAAAACAGCCCAGGGCAACACTGACTTCAGTGGGAAACAAATTAAAGACATTAACAGGATCAGTCCACTCAGTTTTGGCATTTTGTCATCGTTATGTTTTGAAATGTTGTTACATTATCAAAAAGTTTAATGATAGATAATGTCACGATTAAGCATAAACATGCACTCAGTGGGATAAATGCATCCGTTTAAACCGGATTGAGAAGACATGATTTAAAATTTATTTCCGTAATTCATTAATGGCTTTTAATTTAGTTCGTCAATTTTTTCTTCAAAATAGTTTTCATAGTAAATCCTTTTCTCATGTTTCTTATTCGTTTAAGGTTTATAATTAATAGGGTTGTCTGTATGCCTCTCCCTTTCTATTTAACAATTTAAATGAAAGACGATACCAATATACTGTCTACAAATAGAAATTATAAATGGAGTAATAGGTTCAATACTAATTTTACATTTGAATGGTACCATGCAAAGCATTCTACCAAATCTTGTATTCTTAAATTCAAGTGTCGGTTATTTCCGTGACGTCATCAACGTGGGATACCACATGCAAAAAAGGCAAACTTATCTAATGTGTAAAATTGTATCCCCGTACACCTAATATTGCCTTGCATACAGCGTACATTCGAATTGTTATGGTACGATCAAAAACCGTCAAGGTCACAAACCGACGTTTTTGCCTCAAATGGGAAATATATATATTGTCTATATATCTCATGTCTATCAGATTTTCTTCAATGAATTATACTTTCCAGGTAATGACCTCTTTTCAACGATTCCAAAATATCCGTAGATTGTAATACTAACGCATAAATAATTTCAAAAACATACATGTAAAAAATTGTTATGATAGTCACAAACCTTACACATTTCAGACGGTAAATGACTGTATCATAACAATTTTTGAACAACAGAACAATTTATTGTGCGTGTTAGCTGATAAAATTGTTACTTATGGACGAAATTTGTCTTTTAGTCATCAAACTTTCTATCACAATGCATAGACTTTTCTTAAAAAACAATATGTTGTTGGTGTATAAATTTCTGTTTTAGATATGCAAAATAATCATGGGCCATCTACTTTGCTTTTTTCGGTACACATAAGACAAAGAGGTGGACCTGGAGAAAAAATACCAAAAAACGTTGAAATAAGCGTAACATCATCGCGTTGTAGGCCGTAAAACGTCGAGTTTAGAGGTTTGTCAATACCAACTAGGTAACAAATCAATTAATACACAAAAAACGAAGTTTATGAACCTAACATTTTTTTTACATAATTAAAACGGAAATGTATACATTAACAACATATCGTTTTTTTAAAATTTAACGTTTTACGTTGATTTTGTGTGCTTTGTATACAAATCTTCACCT